ATGTGCGAAGCTCACCTCCACTCCTTCCATTTGCGTCTGAAAACCTTTGAAGTCCCCCACAAAGCCATCGATCAAACTCTCAACCATCAGTTTGATAAAACTGGCATTTGCAGAGTGGGTGTAATCATATGCCAAGCCTGGTACTGGGAACACCTGCTCGAACTGGGGGAAGAGGTTGAATTTCTGGTGAAGCATGTGCAGAAAGGGATACAACAGCCAGAATGAGGAGGACGCGAAGAGTGTGCTGTCGAGAATGCGGAACTGAGTCAAAGTGTTGCCCCAGCTGCCCAGTCCACTCTTCGGGTCAGACTCCTTGAAGAATGCGGATTCGTAGAAATTAGCTGCATCTGTGAGTGGATTAGCTTATGTAGCTAGGGGTTGATTGTAGACGCGAAAACTGAACCTTTCATCCAATCCCAGTACGGAAGAGCTCCCCGATACCCACAGCGATTGCGCAGTGCATCCTCAAATACGTGAAGATACCAGCGATGCCAAGGGAAGAATAGGCCAGTCCAATGTATCTAGCCGAAGGAGGTGAATGACAGATAGGCCATGACCAAGAAGTACTTACATGGTGGGTTAGATCTAGTAGTGGTGCTACGATTAACTTGAGAGCGTCTCGAAAATGTATCTTACCCATGTGTGCGTAAACAATGTCTTTCTGAGGATCCATGAGAGAAGTGGAATTACAGCTATTGGCAGTACCGAAGGTGCGAACGGAAAATTTCTGTTTTGGGATGTTTTCATCTTTACCCCATCCCTCATCTACATCTAGTACACCAACAAGCACTCACCCACTCCAACACTCTACCACTCAACTCTAGTAATTAATCTAGAAGTCTCTCCCACGGCCCAAGAAAGTAGCGATATAACAAAAATCGCAGGGCGCCACCGCCCAGATTTCAAGGATGGAGACGGAGGCAGATGTAAAGGGACTGGGAGCCAACTAAGCCCCCGGGCCCGCCCGAATCGCACACCCTCCCTCCGCCGCCGCGCGCCGCATCTCGCGGATGCCGTCGCGGTGCGCGCGCATGGCGAGCACGATGAAGATGTGCCAGATGCCGTGGGAGCCTGTGGGCGGGGCATCAGCATTCATTTCATTCTCAATGTGCTTTCTCCTCGCCGGAGAACGAGGGGAGAGACGAATCAGAAGAAATAAACACGACTCACCACCCCCACACATATCCGACACCCACCCCACCCACCCCCTCGCCCACCAAGGAAGCGTTCCGGCACCTGCGTCGCATAGACAACCAGCCCGACGATGTAGTACAGCAGCGAGGGGCCGACGGGGGCTGTAAAGCATCGTTAGCATCAGTATATGGTTTCCTCATTGATAGAATAGGATTGATGGTGAAGTCGGGGAAGGCATGTCATATTGAAGTCGAGAAAGGCAAGGGAGGATCGAAGGCGGAGAAGGAGACGAAAGAAAGAAAAGAAAAGCAAGAGAGAAAGACACGCACCAACAAACCGAATCATCGTGTCCCACCCTGCAGCGCCGCGATGCCCGCGAGCGGCGCGAGTGCCGAGAAGGAGATGCCCACGAAAAAGGCGAGGCGCCAGAGCTGTGCGGGGTAGCGTCAACGAACGTGCACGCAAATCACATAAACAAGCCAACGCACCCGATTCTCCACCCGATTAAACCAATCACAAAACGGCAGCACGTTCCCCGACACGCCCGCCGCCGCGCACAACAGGAGACACCCCGCGCCGACGGGGTGGTACGCCGGCCACGCCGCGAGGCTGCTCGTTGCGTTGCTCGTTGCCGACATTGCGCTGCTTGTCGCCGATACCATATGCGCCAGCGACGCGTTCAGAGCAGAGGCGAAGTCGAGGACGGGCGCGAAGAAGGACGCGGCGACGTTGAAGAGCGGGCGGAGCGGTGCGACCGAGGAGAGGGAGGAAAGGGAAACCAGGAGCGCGCACAGCGGCGCCGTGAAGCTCGCCAGCGTGTCCGCAAGGACCGACCCACCCTCCACCCCATCCACCCACTTCCCGCCCTCCACAGCAACCTTCTCCGCGCCGTGCAGGAGCGTAGACGGGTGCATGAGCGCCTGCACCACGTCCGCCGCCTTCCCTTGCAGCACCTCGACGGCGCCCGAGTGGAGGAGCATGCTGGGGTGGAGGATGGTGTGTCCCAGAGGCGTCGCATCGACGGCCTGCTCGGCGCAGGCGTACCCGTGGTGCACGACCGTCGCGATGGAGGTGGCGATGAGCCTGTGGAGCGGGGCGTTAGCTCGTTTGTTCGTTGGTGAGAAGATAAGCCAAAAAATACGCACCACCCAATCCCGACATAATCCACCCTCGCACACGCCTCCATCGCCCCGCGGTGCGCACACCCCGCCATCGTGTGCCACAGCGCGCTGCACGCGAGACACGCGAGCGCGAAGAGCGTGAAGAGGGACTCGGCGGCGTCGGGGGGTGGGGGTTGGGGGCTGGGGGAAGGGGGGGGTTAGATTGGATTCAATTATAGAGGGACGGGGAGGGAGAGGGAGGGACGGTGGGAGGGGAATAACTCACCCCCAAACACCGTATACCGCGCCCACTCCTCGCCTACCCACTTTCTTGCCCACGCGTCCGGCACCTCGAGCCACGGGGCGAGCGGCTTGAGGAACCTATACGTGTGGTTAGCTTTCTTTTCTTCTCCTACGATAGAGGACGGAGTCGTTCGTTCGCACAGCAACAGCGACAGTCGTTCCGTTCCCCCAATTCCACAAGAACAGCGAGGTAGTAGCAGAGAGCCAAAAAAACTCACAACGGAACCCCAACCCCCCAAAACGCCGCCCCCCACAGAACCATCGGCACGAAATGCGTGTGGATATTGAGTGACTCGTTGTGCAGCGTGAAGACGGAGCGCACGAGGGCGGGCCAGCGCGTGAGGGGGATGAATCTGCGGAGGGTTAGTCCTTTTTTTTTTTTCGAGAAGGAGGGAGGGAGGGAGGAGAGGGGAAAGGAGCAAGAGCCGCACAAAGACGACATCGCGCGCACCGACGTGTACCGAGCAGACATCAAGCACCCACACGCCGCACGGCTCGGTGGGGATGCGGAGCAGCGCCGCCTGTCTCGCTTCACCGCGATGCGACTCCGTTCACTCAACGCTCAACACCCCACGCACGGTGTGAGTGCGGGGCGGAGCACGCAGCCCTGACGGGGACGCCACCGTGTCGCCGAGTACGATATGATATGACACGCCCGCGTTCGCGTCCGCGTTCCTGACGCACGTCAGGTCGGACAGGGGTAATGCGCGGTAGAGACAGAGCGAAGAAAATAACGCGACGCCTCGAGACGACATTCGAGATGGGATTGGAAAGGAAACACAAAAAGAAGACGAACGCACCGATACCCGCTCACAACCCACGGATTATTGCGCCACTCCAGCGGCAAGTCCTCATACCCAATCAACTTTCTTCCGAAATCCGCGCGTCGGAGCGCGTCGGCGGGGGTTGGGCCCGACTCTTCCTCTTCCCCCTCTCCCTCCGCGTGCGCGTGGTCGAGGAGGGACACGGCGGAGAGCGAGGCGGGGAGGTGCGGGCGCGGTAGGGAGATGGACGCGGGGAGCGACGGCAGCGACGGCAACTCCGCCAAGAAAGCGTCCACATCCGCGCGGAACGCATCGAGGAGCTCCCTCAACAACGGCGGCGCGCTAAAGTCAAAATCGAAGCTTGGCCGGCGGAACTCAAACGTCGGCCTAGCGAGAGCGAACTCGAACTCGAAACACGGGAGCTCGGCGGCGAGGTGGGCGTGCAGACTGCGGAGGCGGGCGGAGAGGGTGGGGACGTAGGAGAGCGGGGAGGAGAAGTCGAAGTCGAGGGAGGAGGAGACGAGGCCCTTGACGTTGCTGAGCCGGGACTTTAACTTTTCTTTGAACTCGGGGAATTCGAAGTAGTCGAAGTCGAGCAGGTCGAAGTCGAGGGAGAGCGCGGGGGAGAGATCCAGCGAGGGGAGGTCCGGCAGGTGTGAGTGGACGTCGGCGCGGATTGAGCGTAGCATGTCTAAGGCAGTTGAGGCCCATTCGGCGGATTCAAAGAGAGAAAGACGACGCTCGAGGTCTGCGAGGTAGGAGAGTACGAGAAAGCGCAGAGAAGCTAGAGCCTGAGCGGGGGAAGCCGGGGACAAGTCCAGCGCTTCGAGGGACAGGGGGAGCGGGCGGCACGGCGGGAGGCGAGGCGGGGCGGCGCGCAGAGGCGGCGCGGACATCCGGCGACGGCGCAGACGGGGCGGGCGGGCAATGGGGTCGGTGGCGGGCATGGTGTGGAGGGAGATGGTCATTGTTGGGAATAGGAGGGATCCACAACGTCCCACGTGAAATTTTTTATGCTGTTTCCTTATTTGTAAACCGCAACTCTCTTCCTCCGTCCACGTTCATCGCGGTGTTTCCTATCGGAGCGCATCCTCCAAGGTTCGATACCTCAACATATCAAATGCAGAGCATGCTACCAGTCACCCCAAGGGCCAAGACATTCACTGGATCTTACCCGAGACAGGTACACATCCACATCACAGCCCGACATCCGACCCGGCCGTCCGGAATCTCCTTCACCCTTCCAGTATCGAGTCTTCTCATTCTGGATTAGAGTGCCAGGCACGGTCAGTTTTAACTTGAAACTCGTTGCTCGGTCGCCGGCTTACTCTCAACGCACCGGCCGCCACGGATGTCTACCATCGCGCTCGTGCGCAACGGTGTGATTCCAACAACGACTGGCTTACCTCCTGGACTGTTCGGTCGTTTGAATGTCTTCGGGATTTCACTGTCGTTCTGGTCAACTCGACCACAATCTTTTGTCGCGGTTTCGTTTTAACTTAGATTGACCCATTCAAGGTCAGTGTGTGTCCATCATGTCTCCGTAGCTCAGCGGTAGATCGCCTCGGCTTCATATGTTGTTATAAATCTAGCTCATACAGAGGAGACGTGGGTTCTAATCCCACCGGAGGCGTGGTTGATTACGGCTTCAGTTTTTGTCATGCAATCTTAGAGTTGACCCGTTTTCAGTGTTCATCACGCCTCCGTAGATTAGCGGTAAATCACCTCAGCTTTATAGTTCAGAGCTATCAAGATACATGAGGGGTCGTGGGTTCGAATCCCACCGGAGGCATGTGGGAGATCTATCAATGTTTTTCTTTCTTTCTTTAGTGGTTCGATTTTTTGTCGTTTGTTCCAAGTTTGTTCAACCGAATTGACCCGTTTTCAGTATCTATCACGCCTCCGTGGATTAGCGGTAAGTCGCCTCAGCTTTGTATATTGTCATGCAGATATGTATGAGGAGTCGTGGGTTCGAATCCCGCCGGAGGCATGCCCATTCCTCACACGCTTTTTCTTTCGTGGTTGAATTTTTGGCCCCTCGTTCAACCTTGGATCTTAGAATTGACCCTACGGTGTGTCCATCATGCCTCCGTAGATTAGCGGTAAATCGCCCTGTCATTCTGGTCTTTCTCGTCAATCATAATAGGGAGCTGTGGGTTCAAACCATACCGGAGGCATAGAGGCTGTTGAGAGAGATTTTTCTTTCGTGGTTGATTTTTGTCGTTCCTTCCACCTTGTATTAACCTGTCCACAGTGCCCATCAAGCCTCCGTGGATGAGTGGTAAATCGCCCCGTCATTTTGATCTTTGTCATCAATCGTAACAGGGAGCTGTGAGTTCAAATCCCACCGGAGGCGTCCCCAGTATCTTCCATACTTTTTCTTTCGCGGTTTGATTTTTGTCGTTAGTTAGATTGACCCGCTCGGAATGCCCATCACCCCTCCGTGGATTAACGGTAAATCACCTCAGTTCATTGATGGTGAAGGATATTTTATTCTGAGGAGACGTGGGTTCGAATCCCACCAGAGGCATTGTCGACTATGAAGTTTGAACTGCTTTTGTCCCTTCTTTCTTTCAACTTTCAATTATTTTTTTTTGAATCTCATTTATTTCATTGAGGTGTCCATCATGCCTCCGTGGATGAGCGATAAATCACCTCAGTTCAATGAATATTCAAAGTGTAGGTTCTGAGGAGACGTGGGTTCGAGTCCCACTGGAGGTATATTATCTGTAATTATTATTTTTGTCGCAATCGCGAATGACCTGCTTTTAAATTGTTTTCCTCTTCTTCCCTCTCTTCAAGTCCATTTTTGTTATGCATCAACCCCAAACAGTTGGAATCAACTGAAAAACTACCCATCACATGAACATCGAATACCATCATGCCTCCACCGGAGGCATACACACGAGCTTTAAATCTTTTTTTCGCGTTTCGAGAAATCAACTGAACATTACACCTCGGAGTAGAAATCAATTCAACATCCATCATGCCTCCGTGGATCAGTGGTAGATCGCCCTGACAAAATGTACCTTCGTTGGAATAGTTGTTAACAGGGAGCCGTGGGTTCGAATCCCATCAGAGGCAATTGCGTAGAAATTGTTTGCACTTTTTTTAAGATGGAGCGCGCATTGGTTTTTAGTTCCCTCAATTTTTCTCAATCTCAGTAGTCTGTGCCTCCACTATTACTCATCTTTCAACAGATATCCAACTGCTCAAATAGACTTTTGCTTTTAAATTTATAGACTACTGCACTGTCTGGTGGTTCTAATTAATTTCAGACTAGTTAGGCTGCAAGGGTATGAAGCCTCTGTGGATGAGTGGTAAATCACCTCAGCTTTATTCAGGAGCACCACCTGGTGATACTTTCTGAGGAGCAGTGGGTTCGAATCCCACCAGAGGCATTCTCAGGATCTGATCCATTTTTCTTTCGTGGTTCAATTTTGTCATTCTTTCTACCTTAGATTGACCCATTCACGGCGTTTGTTTTTCGCGCCTCCGTGGATGAGCGGTGGTAAATCACCTCAGCTCAATCAGTATTCAAAATGTAGGTTCTGAGTAGACGTAGCCATACATTGTTGATCCTATTTTTTTTAAACGGAGTCCCGGTTGGTTTTTAGTTCTTTCAATTTTTCCAAATCTCAGTAGTCTGTGCCTCCACTAGTACTCATCTTTAGATAATCCAGTTGCTCAAACAGACTTTTGCTTTTAAATTCATAGAGCGAAGATCCTACTGCCAGCTGTTTCATGCCTCTAAGTAATTGTTCACTAGTCAGGCTATGAGAAATATAAGGGTATGAAGCCTCTGTGGATGAGTGGTAAATCACCTCAGTTTTATTTAGGAGCAGCATATGTAATACTTTCTGAGGAGCAGTGGGTTCGAATCCCACCAGAGGCATTCTCAGGATCTGATCCCTTTTTCTTTCATGGTTCAATTTTGTCATTCCTTCTACCTTAGATTGACCCATTCACGGTGTTTTATTTTTCGCGCCTCCGTGGATGAGCAGTAAATCACCTCAGCTTAAGGCCCTGTTCGGGATCCCCAATTAAAAATCCAATTCCTAATTTTCCCCGCCAAACACAAAAATTTAGGATTTAGAGCCGGAACATTTGGCAGGGAAAATTAGGAATTGGACTGTTAATTGGGATCCCGAACAGGGCCTAAGAATTTTGCAAGATGTTGTTGTACTGAGGAGCCGTGGGTTTGAACATCAAAATTCTTGTCAACATTTTTTGTCCCTTCCTCAATTTTTCAGAATCCCATTCAACCACTCTGTACCTCTACAGTACCTGGCTTCCAACTTCCGACGTCAATGTGATATAGAACTCAACCAATAATCTAGATACAGGTTCCCAACACTACTTTGCTTCCATCAAGTCCTGCTCCTGCTGGGCTGTCTCATGCCTCTAATTAATTTTCACACCGGTTAGGTTACGAGGAATATAAGAGTGTCAAGCCTCTGTGAATCATGGTGGATCAATCCTGAATCATAGCAATAGTTTGTCATAGATTTAAGGCTAGCTGTGGGTTCGACTCCCACTGGAGGCATGGGAAACGGGAAAACATCCGGGTTTTTTGTCCCTTCTCTCAATTTTTCAGAATCTCATCCAACCATTCCATGCCTCTGCTCATCTTTAGCCAAATGATCCAGATGCTCAACAATGGCCTCGTTTTCATCTGTCTCATGGTTCTAATTAAATTTCAGATACTAGTTAGGCTACGGGGATGTAAGGGAATCAAGCCTCTGTGGATTATGGTTGATCACCTCGGAAAATTTACAAATCCATGAATAAATATCTGAGGAGCAGTCAGTGGGTTCTAATCCCACCAGAGGCATAACATGTGATAATGATTTCTTTTTTTGTTTCTTCTTTCAATTTTTCTAAATCTCAGTAGTCTGCGCCTCCACAAATACTCATCTTTCAACAGATACCCAACTGCTTAGACTCAAACAGACTTTTGCTTTTAAATGTATGAAGACATGCTCCTACTGCACTGTCTTATGCCTCTAACTAATTTTCAGACGCTAGTTAGGCTACGAGGAATATTAGGGGATGCAGCCTCAGTGGATCATAGTGGATCAGCCTTGAATTATAGCATATTTTTGTGTTTTATTCCTTCCTTCAATTTTTCTGTGGCTCTACAGTACCTAGTCTCATGGTTCTACTTCAGATTCCTAGGTAGGCTATGAGGAATACAAAAGGATCAAGCCTCTGTGGATCAAGGTAGATCTCGTCAGAAACATAGCAGTGTATGTGCATAGATGTACGAGGAGCAGTGGATTCAACTCCCACTGGAGACATGTTGATATTTTTTTCCCTTCTCCGTTGTCGGTTACTTATCATGTAGCTCGGAATTCATTTTCCTGCCTTCACAACTACAAAAAATAACACGAAATAAACCGAGCCAGATGCGTGCACCTCAAATTGCTCCAGTCAAAGTTCTCATTGGAATTTACTTCAACAAATATATTCAGACACAATTAAAACACACTCAAGGTCAAATATGCATGTTAACAAATCCATAGTAGGATCTCCTTGAATCTCGTCTGATATCGCAAGGTGTTGAACCGTGGGAATCGGCCGGGAAGTGCCGCCGGTCGGTTTAAATTCCTTTGGTGACGCGTTGCATGCATATTCGAGCTCAATCAGATATAAAGCCAATGAAATATACCACCCTGCACTTGAAATATTACTAGTTCCGAGCTTTCAGCTCTGGAACTTCCCACTTCGGATATCAAGAAAGGCCCGAATAAATAGTATCTTGTCCAACGCCCAAGATGCAGAGTTACCGCACCCTTAAGCCAAGACCATACAAAGGTCCCTCACATTCAGTGTCCGATTCAAATGCGGGAGCTTTTAGTAAGTATTTTATCACCAGCAGGACACCGCCGCGCAAAATAGTGCACCAATTTAAGAGCCAGGTGCCGGCCCTCGGAATCCAGGCATCCATTTTTGAATTTTGCGTACTGGAGTCAGAGGATTATGTTTTGCTTGGAGACAAAAAAAAGAGATCTTCTATTGTTGCCCACGACAACACAAATTGGCCCTATACAGGTTGTAGGGCCAAATATTCGTCAGGCTGAATTTACTGATCTGAATGGGACTGTTACGTATGTAAACCCACTGATCGAGAGAATATTTCTCTAGCCCACGATGTTGCCAGTGAACGGAGATAGAACCGGCTCGATGCGACCTTCGTCAGAGCGCTCGTGAATGGAAGCACCTTAATATTCGACATCTCGCAGGAATTATTTGAGGTCAAACTCTCCCATACCGGGTACTCAACGAGCCCATTTAGCCATTAATTTCTGAAAGAGGTAATTAAAGGGAGCAGGGAGTACAGGCCCGATTATCCGTGACAGCTTTTGTGTCGCGTGCACTAGAACTAAATTCTGAAGTCAAAACAAAATTTCCGGCTCCGCTCCATTCCCCTGCAAATCTTCGAGAGCGCAGAAAAGGCTGAGCTCCGGAAGCGACTGTCCGCGCTGGCGCCTTGAATCCATCGCGTCCTCAAGTGCGTCCCGCACAGCGTCAAACATATCCTCCTTTGGATACAGTGTGAGAGTTTTAAGCTGCGGCCACGGCTGCGCAGACGCGCCTAGAATGTCTTTGAGAAGGTCTGGCGTGAAGCACTGGTTTCCCAACGTCAGAGAGGACAGGGCAGGGAAGAGCGCGAGCGGGGGAGATGAAATTGTGCTCGAGAAGGGGATATCGCCTTCACATGTACATAACTCTCCGTTGATGAAGGTCAAGGAGGTCAAGGCAGGGAAGGACGAGTGATCGAGGCTCGTCGCATTAAAGAGGGCAAATATCTGGTCGCCGTGGGTGCCGTCGATTATGAATTCGGTCAATGCGGGGGTGTCGAAAGGATCGACTATATGCAACAGATAAAACTGGGATTCGCTATCCAAGACCAAGATGTGGAGGAATTCCAGATTAGGGAGGTGAAACCGGCGAGCCTCTGTGGAAGGGATCTGTCTCATGTCGAGGTGTAGATGGACCAACAAGGAGCATTGTGTCGCGATCGCGACAAGAAAGTCGTTATTAATCCAGTCGCCCGAGTAGTAACCTCCCAATACTGCCAGATGCGTAAGAGATGCCGTCCACTGACTCGCCGCCTGCACGTCGAGTTTAATGCCACTCATTTTGAGAGAGCTTAACCTCGGGGCTCCGGACGAAAACATTTCAACGGTGATCCAATAATCATCGTCGTCCTGGATTTCGTTTCTGATATCGAGATGCTGTAAATTGGGAGCTGCCACATCTCGGAAGGAGGCCAGCACCTCTCCCTGCCACTCCTTACGCAACACGATCCTCAACCTCCATATGCGATCCATGTGTGGGACGATCTGGCTGAATGCTGAACAGCTCTGCGAGCAACTTCAAGTTATATTTCGAGCTGATGCTGTTCGGATTGTATAACGATTCGTGGAAGGTTGCCGATATGTTATGCGATCCGGAACGCTCCAGATAAAGTCTGAGGATTTCGTTTGATCCCTCGGCGGCATCATAGTCGACGTCGATGAGCGTCCAAAGCTCAGGGGACCCGATAACAACGTGGCGAAAGCGGCGGGAAACATGGGACAAAGCCCATTCTGATTTAAAATCTGTGGCGTCTGAATCTGCGGCGCGACCCTCTTGTCCGGCAGCAGCGACGGCTACCAGAAGCTCGTTTGGAAAAGAAGATATCGTGAGCGTGGATTGAGCGCCAACCATACAAAGAGGAGAGAAACCGCAAGTGGTGGAGGTCATGGCAGCGTGAAACAACGTTGACTTGCCACCAACTTGCCACCAACTTGCCACAGCCGTGCACAGCCACTGCTCTGTCAAACTCGGGAAGGAGGAGGAGGATTGCCTATGCAGTCCCAGATTGAAACAACAGGTAGCCGTACTACGTAAATACACCTACGCTACGAAATCCAACCAAGTACGTCAAACTCAAAAATCTACCAGCGGACAGAATGTTCGTACAATAATAATACATGTGGCAACAACGATGATACCGACCCGGCCGCTACGCGCCATCTGCATCTCACACGCACGCAGCATGCGCGGAAAGGAAGAGAGCAGACGCGCACGGCGCA